GCTGACGTTTCGGGCCTAGACCCTTCTCCAGAAATATCTTTTCTGAAGAAGGGTCTAGGCCCGAAACGTCAGCCTTCCTGCTCCTCTGATGCTGCTTGGCCTGCGGTGTTCATCCAGCTCTACAGCTTATTATCTCAGACGTCTAGCTGTGTCATTTTGGAGTAATTTGGTGACCAATTAAAAAAGATGGACTGATTAAAACACCAGTCTACACTTACAGAGATAACAAGGTGTAGAGCGACACCAGTCTACACTTAACAGTTGGCTCATAGACCAGAATATGCAGTCAAAATAGTGTGGAGGCTAATGGCACTTGCTGTTACTGAGGATGAAATAGTATTGCAACTTCAGGCTAGAATCCCATCTAAATACTGATATCAATAAGTGGTTGCCTTGGTTGTGCCACTCTGCCATTAGTCTACCAAAAATGCCATCTTGCTACCTGCCTCATGATGGAAATGTATTTAAGAATGAGGTTCACATGTTAGCTTGGTAAACAAGAAATAAGTCCATGACAGAAAGTTAAGGCTTAGTCATTTCACTCCGAGCACCTTCCTAATAATGTCATAACTATTAACTAAAGCCAATCAATCTCTCTGGCATGCAGTAGCAACCACTAAAAGCATGGAGATGATAAAAACAACGTTTATATGTGGCAGGGAATCTCAATTCTGTGCACCACATACTCTGTTCCATGTGGAAATTCCAGGATGCTCTCATGTCCCTTTGTTTTGAAATGAATTGCTGTTCAAAGTTTAATGCTCACTTCTCAACTACAATTCAGTATCAAACCAAAGCTGAGAAAAATTAAAGAAATATAGTGATGGTTTCAACACAGTAAAGTTTGGGGCAATGGCTGCAGATGTGCACTGGGTCACAGTTGCTGGCGAGGACCTTTCAATTATAATACAGTGAGGGTCTAGAAACTGTACTACCCCTTGGGATGTGTGCATTACAAAGAACGCATATGTCAATTCTGAGGATTCAACATGTATTGAGGTACTTCAGAGTGGAACATGGTGTATTGCGAATAATTCTATATCGATTGTATTTTCAATTTGAACTGTTTTGCCCTGGGACTGCATATCTGATGTGGGATGTATTTAGTCAAAATTAGGACTATTGCAATCAAATGAAATGGAATATGTTGTACTGAAACAAGTTGAATTTTTTGTAAATTCCGTAATATTTCAGCCAAATGTTTTGTAATGTTCTCCTTCACAAAATCAATGAATATGCTGTCTTTGGGGGAGAGAAACTTCATCTTTAAGGAAACCTTAAGGGTGAAGTCTCTTCAAGATGAGGTACACATAAAACAAAATTGATCTAACTGTGGGCCACCTGCCCATCAGCTGTTGTCAGCTGTTACAGGAAATGTTGCTCATCCTAAATGACAAAGAGTTTCAGCAGCTATAGCCTGCAACTATCCTGGTTAAATTTGAGATTATCCAATGATGTTCTTTTATGTTTCCTTCAGCTCGTACACAGTTGTTTCGGAAGTTCTGGATCCACTGGACATTGTACGTACAGATCCGGAAAACCAAACGCATGATGCAGTTTGAGGCTGATGAGTTCCGTGTGAAAGCAACTCTTCAGTAAGTGCAAACCAACAACTTCAATTATTTCAGTTAAATTTTACATCTGTTTTATGGCTAATGTCAGAGTGACATTAGAAGAATTTGCTTTGACCAGTCAGTATCAGCATCAATGAAGATATACCAAAGCTCAAATGCATTTATGTACACATGTACTAGGTCAGATACCCTTGGGGGTTGGATTCAACAGTTTACACAAGAATCAAATCCAAATTATAACTCTCCAGCACCTTGACACTTGGCATAAGGCTCGCTATGTGCTGTTCCAGCATCATAATTTAAATTTTGTTTATATTTCTGTCCAATTGACCAAAATAAGTTCTTACTATTTTGTATTTGTGCCCTTGTCTGCAGTCACTGAAGGCTGGAATCAAACCCAAGTCACTGACGCTGTGAGACAGCAATGCTAACCACTGTGTCACCGTGCCAGCCTCTCATGCTGCTGACTCCAATTTTGGGGGAGAGGGCAGCATGATAGTTATGTCAGTTGTTTAGCAATCCAGAGGCTAAAGCAAATGCCATCCAGGCAGTTGGCCAAGTTTCAAGTGAATTAATTAGAGCTGGAATTGAAAGCTCTTCCCATTAATGGTGAAGAGAAAACTATCACAAATTGTTTTAAAAGCCCATATGGTTGACTAATGTCCTTTAGAGAAGGAATTCTGCCATCTTTACCTGGCCTGGCCTACATGTGTTGACACAACATATTAATTCAGTTGACTCTCAATTGCTTCCGAGGGCAATTAGAAATGGTCAACGAATGCTAATCCATGTCCCATGAAAGAACACGAAAGCAACTTTCTCCAATCCAACAATCCTCTGATAACTCTGCATTCCTCAATCATTGCACCACTTGCAACATACACCACAGTTCTATCAGCTGTCCAGGTCTTAAGTTTCCATATTCACCTTCCTAAACCTCTTCACACTTTTCTTTTGGATGCTCCTTAAAGCCTATTTCTTACGGCCAAACTGGTGTTAACTGCCTTATGAAAATCTTTTTGTGTCTCACTATACTGTGTGTAACACCCTGGTTTGTATTACTATGTTCTGTTGCTAGAGAAATGCTACTTGTAATTACGCACATTCAGGACATGACAAAATTCGGCATGCAACCAGAAATGAACAAAAAAATCCATGTCAGAATCAAAACTGGAACTACAAGGGCACAAATACAAAATAGTGGGTTTCTGTAGGGTGCACTGGTTTCCTCCCACAGTCTGATGTGCATGTTAGGTAGCTTGGCTATGCTAAATTGTCCCATAGTGTCCAAGGTTGTGCAGGCTGCATGAATTAGCCATAGTAAATATAGGGTTGTAGGGATGGGGGAGGTGGTGGCGATGGCGGTGTGTCTGCATGGGATGCTGTTTGAAGGGTTGGTGCAGACTCGATGGGCTAAATGACCTCTATTTGAATTGTAAGGATTCTGATTCAATGACCTGGGAGGAGCAAAAATGTGAACTTTAAATATGACGTGTTGATCAGCCAGTGTAGGTGTAGTTTTCTTTATTCATTCACGAAATAAGGGTGTCACTGGCTAGGCAGCATTTATTGCCCATCCCTAATTGCCCAGAGGGCAGTTAACAGTCAACCACATTGCTATGGGTCTGGAGTCACATGTAGGCCAGACCAAGTAACGATGGCAGTTTCCTTCCTTAAAGGACATTAATGAACCAGATGGGTTTTTCCAACAATTGACAATGGATTGACGGTCATCATTAGATTCTTAATTCCAGATATTTATTGAATTCAAATTCCACCATCTGCCATGGCAAGATTCGAACCTAGGTCCTCAGAATGTTACCTGAGTCTCGGGAATAACAGTCCAGTGATAATACCACTAGGCCAATGCCTCCCCTGACGATTCAGGATATGGGAAATTTGAAGGGTTTAAATAATCTAAGTAAAGAGCAACTGTTTTCAGTTGCTGAAGGATGGAATACAAAAGTACAGAAATTTAAGCTAATTGGCCAAAAAACTTAATGCAAGATGAGTGAAAACTTTATGTGCAATGAATGGTTTGATTTGGAACGCACTGCCCGAAATGGATGCATCTTGAAGTGGGTTCAAATGTAAGTTACAAAAGGGAATTCGATATGTGCTTGAAAAAGAAAATTTAGAAACATGCAGAAAGCCATGGAAAGTGGAATTAACTGGATTATTCTTTCATAAAAATGGAGCAGCCTCATTGGATCTTCTTCTGTATTGGACTATTCTATAATTTGTACTGTTCAGGAAAGCTTTTTGTATCATTGAGTTTGGAGGTATCAAAAGCATGACTGATGGTTTCTGACATTTGTGTTGACTTTTGCCCCTATTTGATTCTTGGTCCTCAGATCAGTATTGCATTATTGAACCTCTTGTCAATCACCATTCAGGCTATAGCTGGGGCGACTTCTGGATATTTAAAGTACTCGATCAGTACAGACTTATTACTTTGACAGCGCTCTTGAATTTTCAACAGATCCTGTTATTCATGCTTCTTTCAATATTTAATATAGGCTCTAATGTCTGGCCAGCCTGTGTTGATCAGATATTAACTGATAAACTTTACAATTGTAACCAATACTGTTTCTTGCCAGGGCTGCCTGGTCCATTTGGACCAAACAACTGGGGAGGAAAGAAAGAAATCGCAAAATGGATGGCTTGGCAATGCAGCATTGGGCCAAAACCTTGCAGCACAGGGTAGGTATGAGGATATATTTTTTGTGTGTCACCATGATTTGCACAGGAAAGCTTTTGGAAAGTGTGTTTCCTATGTTCTCTTTGTTTGAGATGCGTGTTATATACATCTGGTTATTTCTACCCATATTTGTAATGCTGAAAATCTTGAATCTTGGAATTTTGCAAATTGTGTGGAACTTGCAGAATATTCTGTGTTCATTTGTCGTCATATTTTTCTCTTGCAACCAATTCTTGAAGTACAGTTTCACTGGCATTAACTAGTGGTTATACTAGATAAATATTGAGAGTGGATATCAACATGACAGCCACAGAGGAGATTTTGGCTGATTCTATCCCCTTCACAGACACTGCAAGTGATAAACTTGTCTGAATAATTTCCCTCCTGCAACTGGCTGCTGTTGAGGAGACTGATAGCAACCCACATGTAATTCACATCAAGAGAATCTCTTGTTCTGTAATGTACAGTGCAGTTTGTTTGCTGAGCCATCAGGGTGAGCTATTCCTTTAAAATGAATCCTTTTTGTTGGAATACCAATGCATTGCCATGGGATAAGAACACAGAGGACTTTAAATGAACAAAATGGCTGCCCAGTGAATTTCATTCTGTTTTGCATAGGATTGTCTGGAATATCACGTGTGTTCTTTGAGGCACAGAATATGATTTTCTAAAAAGGCAAAACTGGGCAATTTGTCACAGAAATGTAATTGAGTTTCTAGCTGTAGGCCTGGGTTTGGGCTTAACAGCCAGACTGCCCAATGTCTTTTGTTCTCTATGCACCTGTGTATTCACAGCAACTGAAAGGATAAGGTATGTGACTTTTTCCCCCCATTCAGAAGTTCAACAATAGATAAGCCAGCTAGACCAACTAACCCCACTCACACAAGTATGATTTTTTTTTACATTGTTGGGCTTATATGAAAGAAAACATCCTTCCCTTGAATAGCTGTGAATGTTCCTTTGACCCCCAAGCTAATTTTGTTGCCCGAAGCACACTATTTCAGACTATCTTAATTCCCTAAGCTTTCCAGCTCTTAAGGTTTTTCAGTCTAAATGTTCCAGCATTGTATTTAATTCCAAGAGCTGCATTTATGTCAATTTCACCAAAAGTCTTATGTAACAGCAGAGTCACAAATCTAAATCTAGCACACCAGGCATGAAGCATGGAAACCTGCTGAGGTAATAGATGGCGCCCAGAGGGTGGCCTCTTCAGTCAGCTGAGGGGGAAAGTGCCAAAAATTGGGAAGGAAATAATAAAATGTTACCCAGCTTTTAGGACAGTTGCATTTCGAATGCAGATCATGCATTTGTTTTATAGCTACATAAAACAGTCACGAATTTAAATAGTGGTTGTGATCAAGATTTATTTATTTTTGTTCTGTAATTGCTACACAGTTTTCTTGACTCATTGTTCATGTGACTAGATGACTGAAAGCTGGACTGCTCCTTGCACACAATGATAATGTGTTGAACCAGCAGGTGGCAGCTGTGTGCATCTGATAATGACACTGCGTTCTGTTACCTATTGTCCGCTGAACAGCTTAGCTGTTCGCTAATGAAACTGGTCAAAATAATGGGAGCAGAGTGGGATAGAATACTTAAGAACCCTTAATGAAGACAGGAACATTTATCATCATCATTGCTGCTTAAGATTCTTTTTCACACACCTCCACCTGATAACTTTGCTACTTATCGTATTGCAGCCTTAAAGATAACTGTAAGGTTCATAAGCTCTATGTGTCTACGCTGCATGCCTGGGACTTGGCAGTGAATTTTGTCAGGCTATTTGATGTTGAAGACAAGTCCAGTCTTCTCCCATGCTGACATTGGCATGTGCAGTTGCCAGCAGGAGTCACTGGGCAGTGCCCTGGAACCTTGGTTTTTCACTTTTTTTGGGCCTAAACTGGCGAAACTAATTATGCACCTTCTGCTGTTATTCTCCCTGAGGTTAGCGCATCTACAAGTCTTTCATCTGGAAAATATTGTTAGGATGAGCATTTTTCAGATGCTGACTAACGTTTGATTTGTGTATTTCTACATCTTTGACCAGCATTTTTAAATATCAATATGTGATACTTGCTAAAATATCTGTTGCAATTCAGTACAAGGTGATTCAGTTCTGGAATACAATTGCTGTTATGTACACTTTCAGTTAACTGGTATCTTCTTTGTTTTGAGTGCAGGCTTGGCTTCAGTGGAATGCATTGTTGCATTTGTTGCAGCAAGAGCGAGAGAGGGATGGCCGAGCGCAGCAAATATACCAGCACCGTTGCATGCAGCGATCACTGCTGGCCTGGCGTGTATATGTCCAAGTTTGTAGGGATAAGAGGTGTCAATACAGTAAGTTTCTGGGATGTAGACTTGAACCCCAAGGCCTGTAAGGCTTCCCGAACCTCTGCTTTATGATGGGTCATATCTTTACTGTTCAGACTTAAAACTTACATGTGTGACAATTAATTTCCAGGAACAACCAGTGCCAGTCATGTATAGTGAGACTTTGTCATGTTCATGTCAAATGAAGTAAAATGATAAATTTTGCAGAAACTCAGGAGGTCTGGCAGCATCTGTGGAGAAAGAAACAGAGATAATGTTTTGATTCCAGTATAATAATTCTTCAGAGCACCTTTTCAGGATTATGAAGAAAAGTCTTACAGGACTCAAAACGTTAATCTGTTTCTCACTTCATAAATGCTGCTAGACCTGCTGAGTTTCTCGAGCAAATTCTGTTCTTATTTCAAATTTCTAGCATTTGCATAATTTTGCTTTTATTATTCATTTCAAATGAATCTACTAAACAGATAATGGGGTTAATATCAAATAATTAAAGTTAAAATTGTGTGTGTGTGTGTGTGTGTGTAAAAAGGGAACAGTGAGGGTCTTGTGACACAGTGGCAATGTAGCTACCTCTGAGCCAGAAGACTGAGGTTCAATCCCACCTCAGCATATTAATGGCCTTGGAGGTGTGATATAACATGTCAAAACAACTCAATTTAAAAAAAAATTCATAGAGAGAACAGTTGGACTTGGGTTTGGGTTGTTTGGAAGAGAACTGTGTAATCTGTAGAAGTCAGTAAGCTCACTGTCAAGGAGAGAAGCTCTGTGTCTTTGTTTCTCATTCACCTACAAGCTTAGCTCCAGGTTGTCTTGTGTTTGCAGACTTGAAAAGGGAGCAGGAAAGCTTAATGGTTTTTAAGAGATTCTTAAAGGAGCGCAATAGAGTAAAGCGGTTGAAGTTCTACTGCTGTTGATGGATGGTAGGGTTTATGAGAGATCAGGGGCAAATAACCAAATCATTTCTGCTGGGTTTTGGAGGCTATATAATGACAGGAGATAATAAAGATGATACGCAGCTTTATGTGGAGTGATTAGAAGGTAAGGATTTTAACTTAATGTTGCTGTGGAGCTGTGAGTAGGAATACTGTAAGGAGAGGTTGACAGGCCAGTGAGGAGAGCATTCAAGTTTGGAATTTACACAGTTACAGATTTTAACAGGGAACAGGCTGTGTTGTCGTGCTTGAAATCGACAGTCTGTGTAATAGAGCTTGAAGTTCAGCTCAGTATCAAACACACTGCTGGGATTACAAAGAATCTGATTGAACCAGGGAGAGGGTGGGCATCTGGCAAGAAAACAGACTTTGTGCTGCAGAAGAGGTAGTGTCAAACCAGTAACTTTGATCTTCCCGGTGTATAGCTGGAGTAAGTTAGGACTTATCCAAGACTGGATGTCAGATGAGCAGTTTGACATCACTGAGCCAGTTTAGAGTCAAGAGGACCAGAGGTGATTTGGAAAAATGGTTCACTTGTTTATTGTTTGTTAGTTGAGCAAGGACTGGTGGTGCTGAGTCAGGGACTGTGTCAGCATTATGCTCTTCCAGCTCAGCAAATTCATAAACTCCCTGTCGGCAAATTAATACTCTGCATGCCCTGTACAAGATGCACAGGTTGGCCTTGGAGGGGGGTGCCTCACAAATTCACCAGAATGACATAGGGGCTTAGAGAGTCAAATTATGACGACAGCTTCCAGAAGCATGCATTTCCTTAGTAGAGGAGATTGAGTGAAGATCTGGTTGAGGTGTTTAAAACATTTTAATAATTAAATTGCTTCTGGGAAGGAGAGTAACTGGTTAAAATCAGAGGTGTTTGAAATGGGAAGACAGTGGTGGGTGAGAGGAGGTGGTGAAGAGAGACTGCTTGAGATCTTTGATCTCATTGACACCCCCCCTCAACCCCAAACTTCATTGCCCTTTCACCTTCCCAATTCTCTCAAACTGCTAAATGTTCATGATTGCCTAGTTTCCACTCTTGCATTTTCTGCCTTACAGGATTGGCTGGACAGAAGTATGAGCATTGTGTTGTTCAGCGATACTTCTCCTCATGGCATTCGGCCTGGTGTCTTCAAAGGAGCATCCGTGCACAACATGATCACCTCAGTGAACTGGGCAGGAGGAGCACTTTGCGGAGGGCCTTTACCCACTGGAGTCTCTGTATCCTTCACTCTGAAACCACAATTTGAACCTGATTAGTCTTGGTGCATTACAAAGGACCATTTAGACCAACAAATCAGAGTCCAATCTTTTCAATTTGTGGAGCATACGGTGTTAAGACTGTGTCTTTATATTTTTCTTTATTTTTAATTGTAGAGTGAAATGAGAATAAAACAGTTTTAAAACCAAGGATTAGGGTAGTATTTCTGCATGTTTTGAAAGCAGGTAACCACAGCTTTGAGCAGTGGTCATGGTATTGTTGCAGAAGAACTGAAACGGCTTGTGTATTGATGGAGCTTTGTTTGGTACAGATAGATGACTGATCTTTGGATTGATGACCAGTTATTGATGACAAAGGCTTGCTGCTTGCTAACAGTTGTGTGATTAATCCTCAGATAGCTGAACAATTTTGGTTTGTGCACTAGATACAGGGAAGATATCAGACCAGCTCAGGAGTTCTGTCCTTTGTCTGCAGTAAAAACGGCTTTAAGCCTGAAGAGAAACAGTTTATCTTTCCATCAGCAGTTGCTGTAAGCTGTGAATGTTAATTAATAAGTCATAAACCTATGGTAAATGAATGAGCCACCCTGTGCCACTTGCAAGCAGGTGAAAGCATCTGGAAAAGGAAAAGCAGCGTTCTAAATAGCGCAAGAATCATGTGACGAAGCACTGAGCTGCCTTCCTAGTCCTTCCCTCTATCCATAATATCCATTGTTTTTGTCTGTATATGTAAGGGATTAGAATTTTAATTCGTATAGTTATATGCCAACAGTTTGTAATTGTTTACTTGTAGCTAGAGTCTAGTTACTTGCAATAAATAATAATTTTTTTGCTCAGTACAGAAACCTAGTGTGTACTTTCCAGCAGCCTGGTTTTGGAAGATAGGTATATTGGGAGAACCTTAGCGCACTGTTTAAAATCTTTAACTTTTGTGATGACTCCAGGAATAGCAGGGCTTGATTTCCAGTGAGCTACCTCAATGAGACATGACAACACTCCCATGAAGACCTCTGCAGTGCTGTACTGTCGAGGAAGGAATGGACAACGCCACCTTTTTAACAGCGCCCCATTTCTGTAATCTATTGTTGGACAAGTATTGGAATCAATTATTAAAGAAGAAATAGCAGAACGTTTGGAAAATCATAATCTAATCAGAGTCAGCATGGCTTCATGAAAAGGAAATAATGTCTCACTAATTTGTTAGTACTTTAAGGAAGTCAACCATAGTAGATAGAGGAAATCCATTATATGTGTTGTAGTTAGACTTCCAGAAAGCATTCGACAAATTACCTCAAAATGCTAAGTCATGAGAGAAACAAAGGTGTTGGAGGTGGTATATGGGCGTGGATAGAGAATTGGCTACTGGACAGGAAACGGTGAGTGATGATAAGGGGTACCTTTTCAAGTTGGTGGCCTGCAACCAATGGGTTTTCAAAGGAATCAGTGTTGTAACAGCAACTGTTTACAATATATATTAATGACTTGGAGGAAGAAAACACGTGTACGATATCCACATTTGCTGACAATGCAAAAATAGGTGAAAAGGCAGTTGTAGAGGAACACAAACAGTTTGCAAAGAGATATTGATATGTACAGTAAAAGGGCAAAATGTTGGCAAATGGAGTATAATGTGGGGAAAATGTGAAGTTGTTCATTTTGGAAGGGAAAGCAAAAGAAGAGAATTATTTAAATGGGGAAGATACTGCAGAAAACTGCACCACAAAGGAACTTGGGGGTGACTTGTGCATGAAACACATAAAACTAGCACAAAGGTGCAGCAGGTAATCAGGAAGGCTAATGGAATATCAGAGATAACAAGGTGTAGAGCTGGCTGAACACAGCAGGCCAAGCAGCATCAGAGGAGCAGGAAAGCTGACGTTTCGGGCCTAGACCCTTCTTCAGAAATGGGCCCTTATTTCAAGAGAGTTGGAGTATAAAAATAGGGAAGTCTTAGTGCAACTGTACAAGGTGCTCGTGAAATCACATCTGGAGTACTGTGAGCACTTTTTGTCTTTTAATTTAAGAAAAGGTATTTCATTGGAGGTAGAGAAGGTTCCCTAGGATGATCCCTGGTGTGGAGAGATTGTCTTATGATCAAAGGCTAAACGGGTTAGGACTCTACTCATTGGAATTTAGAATGAGAACTAATCTCATTGAAACATATAAGATTCTTAAGGGATTTGATAAGGTAAATGCTGAGAGGATGTTTCCCCCCATGGGAGAGTCTAGGATCAGAGGACATCGTGTCAGAATAAAGGGGTGCCAATTTAGGACTCAGATGAGCAAGAATTTCTTCTTTCAGTGTTGCGAGTCTTTGGAACTCTTTGTCATTGTGACCTATGAGCAGAATCCTTGTCTATATTTACCGTTGAGATGGATAGACTCTTGATGAGTAGGAGATTCACGGCTTATGGTGAAAGGGCAGGAAAGTGGATGTGAGGAATGTTGGATCAGCCATGATCCTACTGAATGGTGGAGCAGGCTAGAGGGGCTAAACCAATCACTCCTTTTCCTATTTCTTATGGTCTGTGGTCTAGTGCCATTTGACTTGAGCATAACGTATTGAACAGTGCTGATAACAGAAACATCTGAATTTAGTTTTGCTTTCAAACTCTACATTCCTGTCTTGAAATATATTTATATTCCCTTGTCATTTCTGTCCATTTTTTAAAAAAACATTTCCCTTTTGTACTGTTTGCTGATCTCTAATGTTTACTAAATTGGATGTCAACTCTGAATGCTTTAACTTCAATCCAGACATTTCACTCGCTGTGGAAAAGACCAACTTGTGCAAATTGGCAGATGAACACTACCACCACCATCTGCTGGTAAGTCATCAACAATAGTGCTTGCATACACGAATTGCTGTTGGGTTTGTCCTGTTCTTTTAGTGTATGATTGTTTTATTCAGTGAGCGAGTTAGTGTCTCTGTTGTCTGCATCTTACTTTGATTTTCAGTGTCTTGGAACACTGGACTGATTGAATGCTCTGCAACTCAATTAAATGAGCATGAAGTTGTGGTGGGACTATTCTTTGATCCAGAAGTACTGAGTGGAATTCTGTCTGCTACCCCTAGTAGAAACCAACGAGTTGAACTGTGAGGGAGAATTGAACCTCTTTTGTTCTTTGAACTCCCAGCCACCACACCTCATGTCTATATTCCAGTAGCCTCGCTCATAGGGAGGAATGTAGCTGCTCCGGTAGAAGCATTGGGAGGCCTTTTTTTTGTTCCATGTTATTATTTTTATAAAATTATCTTTTTCCAGCAATCAAGTATTACAGCTCTGAGGTTCAATGTGAGAAGTGTTCGACAGAAACAGATGTTGAATAATCTGGCACACCGACAGGTTCATGTTTGGGTAAGAATTTCTTCTTTATCTGCAGTGAAATTGAGTACATATGGGGAAAAAATACTTCAATCAACGTGAGCGATTATTTGATGGATTAAACCTGATGCATTCTTCTATAAGCAATATGAAATAAAGGACTCCTCTTCTGCCAATAATATTATTTAGGAAAGTTGATCCTTAATTATTATAGTAATTGTCTCTCGAAGTATTTGAGCAGGGTTACTGTAGCTGTATGCATGTGATGGATAAGACAGGACTAGAAATAGAGACAAATGACAGCTTTAGCACACATCAAAGTATAATAAGGGTTTTAGAAATATTGGTCTCCATTTTAGATCAAAATAGTAGATTGAATTATCAGCTTTTTCAGGGTAGTGACTGATTTACTTTACTGACTGTTCTTATGGTTATGGAAGTGTCTGATGCTTTCTAGAATGGTTTGAACTTGCCTAAATCTGCAGCATGTGGTGTTGCACATGCTGAAGGATTGTGTCCTGATTTCAAAGCTTCTGCACAGAAAACTTTGTCCCAAACATCAGTGCAGTATTTTCATTCCCCTTCATTATAACATGCAAGGAAAATGAGCAGAAGTTTCACAGATCAGGACAAGTTATTGAAAGAGACCATAAGGCTGTAAGAAATAGGAACAGGAGTAGATTGTTCTGCTCCTCGAGCCTCCTTCACCATTTAATAGGATCATGGCTGATCAGATGTTCCTCATGTCCACTTTCCTTTGTTTTCCCCATAACTCTTGATTCCCTCTAGTACACACATGTTTAATGCCTGGACTGTTTTTCTGTATTTCAGTAATACCCTGCTCTTTTGTTCTCTTCTCCAAAATTCACATTTGTCACATTATACTCCAGTTGCCAAGTTTTGCCCAAATTACTTAATCTATCAATATCTTTCTGTGAGCTGTTCTTATCCCTCTTGCAATTTGCCGTTCCACGTACTTTTGTGTCATCTGCAAATGTGGCTACAGTACTTTTGCTTTCTTCCTCTAAGTCATTAATATATATTGTAAATAGTTGTGGTCCCAGCCCTGATCCCTTTGGAACCCCACTGGTTTATAGGTTGCCAATGTGAAAAAGAACCCCTTATCCTCATTCACTGTTTCCTGTTCATTAGCCCAATTCTCTATCCATGCAAGTGTATTAACTCCGACACCATTGTCTCTTATCTTGCAACATAACATTTTGTGAGGTACCTTATCAAACACCTTCTTAAAGTCCATGATAATACTTCAACTTGTTCCGCAGTTTTTACTCTGGCTGAGACTTCTTCAAAAAACAAATGAATTAGTCAGTTAAATTTCCTTTTCATGAAATCATGCTGACACTACTTTATTAGATTATGATTTCCTAAATGTGCTGTTATTATTTCCTTAATAATTAATTCCAGCAATAGATGTTGACTAATCAGCCTATTTACCTTTTTTTTGTGTTTCTCCCTTTTTGAATAGGGGTTTCACATTGACAGTTTTCTAATCCTCTGGTACTTCAAGGATTTTGGAAAATGTCAATCAATGCATCCATTATATCTGTAGCTGCTTCATTTAGGAGGGAGGAGAAGAAGGGGACAGAGAAGCTTCATCTGCCCAGTCCATTCAGAAAGCACATGTAGGAACCTCTGAGCACAATGCTGTCGTATGGGCTGGTGGTACAGTAATATTACAAATGTTAATTAGATCAGAAATTCCCAGGTGATGTCATATATGAAAGTGCATAAATGCATTTTAGTGGTTACTGGACTAAAACTGATTTCTTGACAGTTGTGTCATGTCTAAGCAGTTATAGACAGATTTCAGTTCTCCAAATGTGTTCTCCAACAAATCATTCTTTCATGAAAGCCTAGTTTCTGTCATTATTCATTCGTAACAAGAGAACAACATAACTAGTCCATCTCATTCGTCAATTAGTCCCTGTATTGTTCAAATTTTCATTGTGTCCTTCATGATGCAGAACATGTAAAAGCTGATTTATTTCTATGAGTGTTGCAGAATCTGTATTTGTTTCTGGAGTTTGTCTGAATTGGATTTGGGGTGGCATTCAATTCAGTAGACCTTTGTTACTCATTTTCAGCTGCCTATTGTTCTCTATTTCGTGCTGGTGGTTTGACACTGCATTTTCAGGTGAATCACCATGGTTTTTCCCCATTGATTCAGATGTATTTAACAAGCTAGTTATTGTGAAACTGCAGTTCCAAGAGACAGTGGCTGCAACAGATACAGTCTGTCCATGCCTCTTGTTTTAAGGCAGCTTCAGCACACATGATTAATGTCTGCAATTTGGAGTGGAAC